GCTCTGCCCCCCACCTCCCTCCTGCAGGGCCGAGCCAGCGCTGGCGCGCATCCGGGAGGACCGGCGGCGCATTGTGCTGCCAGCCATCGACAACATCAAGTTCAGCACATTCGAGGTGCAGCAGTATGCCAACGCCGCACACGGCTACAACTGGGGCCTGTGGTGCATGTACATCGTACCGCCTCGCGACTGGCTGGACCGCGGTGACGAGTCCGCACCCATCAGGTGAGCTGCAGCCCAGGGAGCCAGACGTCGGCTCCGCAGGTGCACGAGGGCTGTGGGTGGGCAGGGCCCCCGGTGGGGGTGGGGCAGGGCTGGCTCCACTCTGCCACCAGGGAGGGTGATGCGTCAGAGGAGGCGAGGGGCGTCGGGGAGAGGCCGGGAGGAGGGGAGAGGCAGAGACGAAGAGGGGGGAGGGAGACAGAAAGAGAAGACAGGTAGGAGAGAGAGGCAGAAGGGGAGAGACAGGGAGAGACAGAGAGGGAGGAGAGACTGAGAAGGGGGAGAGAGACAGAGATAGAGAGGGAAGGGAGACAGAAAGGGAAGAGTGAGACAGAGGAGAGACAGAAAGAGAGAGGAGAGATGAAGAAGGGGGGAGAGAGAAAGAGACAGAGAGGGAGGAAAGAGAGAGAGACAGGGAAGAGAGAGACAGAGAGAAAGAGACAGAAAGAGAGTCAGGGAGGCTGCAGCACGGAGTCACATGTGAGCAAGAGGAGAAGGCACAGCGAACTGGTTGCGGGAAAACAAATCAGAGAGACCGTGACACCGAGGCTGGTAAGCAGGAAACTTCGTTCAGGCCCGGAACGTCGGCGTTCAGCCCAGCAGAGTCCAGTCGCAAAGACTGGGCCCCGAGAGCAGTCAGATCTCAGCTTTTATATGTTTTACACTGGCTTTGGGGGAAGGGGCTTTTCAGGGTGGAAGGTTTTGTACTTTTACACAAGCTTGTGCTTTTGGGTGCAGACACTGAGCTCAGCATGGTACACTGCATCTGAGGTGGTCACACAGGAAGGGGCTTGGGTTTCAGCTACAGGCACTGAGGGTGGCGTTTGCATTAACAAGCTGGAACATCTTAGCTGTAATATGTGTTTTGAAGCATTTTCTAAAAGCCCCCTACCACATTCCCCCCCTTTGACGCTCGGCCCTATCAGGGCTACAGAGCATCATTTTGATTTAACATCATTATATGAACTGCCGTCTTCCATTCGACCGTGGTTTCAATGAATTTAGAGACAGACCTTATGAGCAGTGGGCTATGCAAGGGAGAATTAAGCAAGTTCCCAGGAAGGGGACCGCAGCTCCTATAATAGCCTTAAATCCTCCCCCGAGGTTTGGAAACCAGCTTTCAAATCAGTTATTTATTTTCCAGCTGTTCCAGGTTTGAACTGGGACATGAGCAAGCTTTCTGATATTTGTGGCTATGTAGATTATAACCTTTTCATGATTATCTATTTGGAGGCAACAGTTGGAACTATTGGGTTGGGTTTGCAAAGGAGGCCCAAATTAGAAGCAACTGACAACAGTGAAGCATCCTATTCACAGGAAGAAGAAGAATGCTAGTAAAAACCTTTCGCAACATGTCCAGTCTGCTGCTGCGGCTTCTGCTAATCCTATAGCAAAGACTAAGGCAAAGCCTATCGCAATAGATAGACACAAGGAGTGGCAGTACATTAAGAGCTAGTTTTAGAGAACAGAAAGTTTACCTGTGTTTGGGTTGTCGTCTCCTTTAGCTTCTGCCATGCATTGATCAGCCAGCCTTTGGGGTGGCTGAGGCAGCGCCACAGATTCCTTAAGCTTAAGCCGTGCGTTGTCTAGTCAGCTTCCGGACTGACTAGAGCAGGGCTGCAGATCTTTTCCAAACTTTGGAGTGTGCGGTTTGCCCTTTTCCGAATGGTCAGTTTGTGTGGGACTGACGGGTCAGTGACACACTCCCAGTCTTTAGCAGCTGGTTTAATTCTGCTGTAGTGGATCCAGGGGATCACTTCAGCAAACTTTACTGCAGTTGGAGTACACAAAAGTACAGTAAATGGGCCCCTCCAGAGGGGTTTTAGAGGCTGAACATTTCATTCCTTTATTCATACCATGTTTCCTGGGTTAAAGGGGTATGTATCTGTGGTTAAACTTATTGGTAACCTTTCTTTGACTTGGTGATGTAAGGTGTTTAAGGCTGTACCCAGAGCCTGCAGTTGCTGCCTTAACGTGATGTTTTCTCATTTCTTTAAGTCCCCTCGTCTAATTCTGACAAGAAGAGGTGGCCTTCCATAGAGGATCTCAAAAGGAGAGGAGCCTGTCTGTTTGGCAGGGCTAGCCAACAGTCAATGTATGGGAACCGATCAGGGTGGCAATTTTAAATACCTTAGCAACCATTCTTTTATATAATGGCCCTTTTGTGGGCCATCCCACCCCAAAAGAAGGCCAATCTATTTCACAGAATGGTTGGAGCTTTCTCTGAGTCAGTTTCACACCATAGTCTCCTGAGTAACCTTGGCGAAAATGTTTCAACATACATTCAAGGAAGGTGTTCTTACTTTGTGCTCCACGCGTCTTCCTCCCCCTATAAGATGCCAGTCACACACAGAAAGAGGAGAAATGGGTAAGAGGGGCAGTCGCTTTGTCCATCTCCAGCCATACTCCTCATGGAGATATTTCAGATACCTCTTAGCAATTGGCAGGTTGGAATAAACCCCTACCCCAGACCAGCCCTATTGTGAGGTTGGGGCTGCCTCTAGCTGTATGAGGTCACCACCAGCTCAGATCAGGACTCAACACTTGCTTTGGCCCTTTGGTTGGATCAGAACCCTTCGGCTGTCTGTCTTATTCACACACAATCCCTCAACAACTCCTACCCTCCACCCAGTACCTTAGATTCTACAGTTTCGTCTCAGGGCAGTGTTTCCTTCCACTGCCTCTAACCCTTTTCTTCAGGTTTGAGACTACTAGCAGACTCCGAGAGTTGTTGAGGCTCCCTTTCTGTCTCTTAAGGACAGGTCTATTCCATGTAACCCAGTTCCTACCCTTTCCATTGGGTGCTGCTCCTTATGCTGGTTCCTGTGCCTCACTGGGTTCCATTGTGCTTTTGGCATCCTTGCCTTGGCATGCCGAGAGGGCTTCTCCCCTACGGATCAATTGGTCTGTTGACAATAGGCGAAGTTGCCTCTCCTGTGGCCCCGGGGGTCATACTCCAGTGACAAGGGAGGTGGAAAGCGCTGACACTGTCCCTGAACTCTCCACTTTCCTGGTCAATGCACCAAAAAATGTTGCGGGGAAAACAAATCAGAGAGACCGTGACACCGAGGCTAGTAAGCAGGAAGCTGCGTTTATTCCTGGAATGCCGGCACTCAGCCCAGGCAGACTCCAGTCACAAAGGCTGGGCCCTGATCACAGTTGGGCCTCCGCTTTTATGTGTTTTGTATTGGGGCTTTTCAGAGTGGAAGGTTTTGTACTTTTTGTAATACTAGCACAAGCTTGTGGTTTCATCCGCAGTCATTGAGCTCTGCAGCTGCACCTGAGGTGGTCGCAGAGGAAGGGGCTTGGATTTCAGCTACAGGCACCAAGCACAGTATTTGTGCTAACAAACTGGAACAATTTTAGCTGTAATATGTGTTTTGAAGCATTTTCTCAAAGCCCCCTACCGCAGACTTGTGGTGGGTGCCAGGGCAGAGACTCGCTACCCTGCCGTCTGACCCCACAGACCGTCCTGTAAAGCACTCATTTTTATTTTGAATTGGTTTCTCAAGCAAAAAAGGAGAGATTTTAACATTGAAAAGTACACAGTTCCGGTGTCTCTTGAAAAGCTGGGGCCGGCCCAAGGCACCCCCATTGCCTCCCCCCGCCCCTCTCAGCAGCACTGGTACCCATGGTCTGTCTCTGACCATGCTCCAGTTGGCTGCAGGCCCCGCAGCCTGTGTCTCCCTAGCACTGACTCACCCACACACTGGCCAGCTGGTTTCTCACCTGGCTGGCTCCCTCCATCCTGTTACCTGCTGAGCACTTTGTCCCCTTCTGAGAACCCCAAGGGGTGAACCCAGGACATGAGCTCTTCCAGACCCAGCGGCACCCTTCACCCCTCCTGGGGTCTAACCAGGGTAAGGGTTATTTCTCCAACTCTGTGGAGCTCAGCACCTCAGCCAGGCAGGAAGGGCCCTGGAGCCTCCAGAGGGAGCACGGCTCTGAAATACTTTGACCTCAGATGGCTGGCCTCCTGAACTGCAGAGAGGATAAACTGCTGTGACCTTGTGCCAATCAGTTTATAGTCATTTGTTTTAGCAGCCACAGGACACTGGGCAACCAAGACTGACAAATGGTCCCTTGACAGGAGAGGAGGTCCAAGTCTTGCTGGGCAGGTGGCTAGGACCAGTGGCAGGGGAGGGGTAGTGCAAGCAGTCTCCATCAGGGGCAGAAACAGCAGACCACCACATGGAGATGAGGCCATGCTGGAAGTTCAGGACCAGCATCTAGGGTGGATGCCAAGCGTGACAGTCACAAAGGCACACTTGGGTCCACATTGTAGCATGGCCAGTGTCCCTGACTTTCATCCTCAGCATGCATGCAAGAAGCATACTGGGGAAACTGAATTCTGAAAGGGCTGCTGGCAGGCCACATGTGGATTTCCATGGCTGTAGGGCTGATGCAGCAGTTTAACCCAGCCCAGAAGGCTCCCCTGTAGCTCAGACGAGACATGTCCTTCAGGGAGAGAGGCTGGCAGCATTACTATGACCTCACTGGGGTCCTCAGCAGGTTGCCGCTTCGAGATCTCACCCTACCCTGCCCTCGTGGCTTCTTGAGGGGTCCCATGGACTTTCAGCATCTTTTCTCTGGGAGGAGTCAAGGGGCTCCTGTTTCTCCTGCTCTTAATGAACATAGCACCCAGGAAAGAGCAGAGCTTGTGTAGAAATGTCCTTCAAGCTTGTCTTAGTCCATTCAGGCTGCTGTGACAAATACCACAAACTCTGTAGCTTATTAGCGGCAGACAAATGACTGAAGGTCCAAGAACAAGATGCCAGCACAGTCAGGTTCTAGTGAGGGCTCCCTTCGGAGGTGCTGATGGCTGCCTTCTCGCTGAGTCCTAGAGGTAGAAGGGAAGAGAGAGCTCCCATGGCCCATTTTCTGAGGGCACTAATCCCATCTATGAGGCTCCACCACTGTGACCTCCCACAGGCCCCACCTCATGGCACCATCACCCTAGGATGAGGATTTCAACACAGAAATTAGGGGGCGGGGAGGACACAAACATTCAGACTCTAGCAAAGTTCTTCCAGAAAAGACTGCCTTTGCACAATGAAGGTGGTTCGCTTTACCATGTATATTTCAAAATCTGAACCAATGCTTGAAAATAAGATGTCACGTGGAAATGTTTTCTACCTTTGGAAATTGGAAGATTCTGACAAGACTAGGCCCTGTTCTTAAACAGCCACAATGGGCTGGAGGTGAGTTGTTGCTGGTTACTCAGACAGGGCAGAGCCTCAGTCCACTCCACTCCCAACAGCCTCTCACATGGAGGCCATCTGTCACTTGTGTACTTACACTGCAGCATCGCTTAGAGAAATACTTTTCTGGACTAGGGTCTTTATTGAAAGTGGAAGAATATGGAGAGACAGAGAGGACTGAGAAATTCCAGTGAGAGAAAGTCTTTATTCCACCTTGGTCAACATGCAAAAGGAGCTGTCTTCACTCAGGTACTCTACCTGCATGACCCCCACCGACATCTAAGTTTGCCAAACCTCAGACTGGAGGATCAGAGGTAACAGGCCAGAGTCCGATCAGAAACGACCTCCCAACTCACTGGAGGATCCCAAAGGAAATGGTCAGAGCCCTGTCAGACATCATTTTCCTAACAATGGAGAATCAGAGTAACAGGTAAGATACCTGTCAGGCATCACCTCCCTCACACTGGAGGATCAGACGTACAGACCAGAGTCCTGTCAGACACCACTTTTTCTCACATGAAGGAACAGAATAGCAGGTAACAACCTGCCAGACTTCACTTTTCTCACATTGGCTTATCAGGAGCAACAGGCTGGGTCCTGTCAGACATCACTTCCCTCACACAGAAGATCAAGAGTAACAGGCCGGGAGCCCTATCGGGCATCCCTTCTCTCACATGGAGGATCAAGAGTAACAGGGGAACCTATCAGACATTGCGTCCTTCACATGGAGTGTCAGAAATAATAGGCTAGAACCTGTCAGACATCACTGCTTTGACATTGGATGATCAGGAGTAACAGGCCAGAGCCCTGTCAGACATCACCTCCCTCGCACTGAAGACTAGAATAACAAACTGGATCCTGTCAGATATCACTTCTCTCACATGGAGGATCAGGAGTAACAGGCTGGTGCCCTGCTGGACATCACTTCCCTCATCCTGAATGATTAGGAGTAATAGGCCAGAGCCCTGTCAGACATCGCTTCCCTCACATGAAGGATCAGGAGTAACAGGCCGGAGCCCTGTCAGACATCACCTCACTTTGCAGTGGAGAATATGTGCTGAGTTTCTTGAATGAAGTAGAAACTAGTATGCATGAGGACGGATCTTTTAACAGCCAGTAGTTGTCCTGTGAACCACCTCCAGACTTCCATGAAGGGAACAGCGGCCGTACTAGCGTGTCTGTAGATCAGAAAGGAAAATCAACCCTTCAGAGACATGGACACTATCCCCGAACTGGCACTAATCCCTGGAGACCGAAGTGGTCTGCCCATCAGAGCAGAGCTTCTGGGGGTCAGCAGAGCTTTGGAGTGGGTCCATCCTAGGGCATGTCAGTGGGGTCCCACGGTCAAACCCCTGGGTTAGGAAACACAGTGAGAGGAGAGCCTGGGAGGTTTATATTTCACGGCTGGCAGCATCCCCCGGGGATGGGGGGATGCAGTGGATGCAAGTGGGAGGAGTGGAGCAGGTGAGGGTGGCCTATGGCTCAGTTGGAGAAAGATGTGGGAACACCGGGATGAGAAGGACACAGAGGTGCTGTGTGAGGGAGGGGTTGGCCTTCCATGCTGAAGGCCGCGGGAAGGCCTGGGCCTGGCCCAGCAGCGAGGGAGTGCCATGCTCCAGAAGTCAGGCGGGGGCCTCATCGAGACCCAAGGCCTCAGACCCACCAGTCTGGGAACTGTCTTCCTCATGGCTGCTTCCAGTAACAGTGGATCCTTCACCATAACCACAGGAGCCATGCTCACGGAAGATAGGCTCCTTGCTGGCCTTCCTGTGGAATTGTGTCACCGATAGCTGTGGAGGAGCTGAATGGGTGACAGATGCTCCCAACTCCTCAGCTCTTCTGGCTCTGTCATGACAGCAAGGGTGCCTGGTGCAGAGCAGCTCTGTGTCCGCAGGTCTGCATGTCGCCTCGTGAGTCTACTTTGAACCGTGAGTGATAATAAATCGGCACGGCGTGGCACTTCACCTCGTCAGAGACCCCCAAGACTGCTGCCACTGCTGTGAAAAGACAGGGATGCTGCGTGTCGAGGAAATGAATGACCAATGCTACTGTTGAAGACCAAAGATGGGCTTGCACTTTCGGGACTGCCAGGTGGGGGCCAACTCTAATGACAAGACAATCACTGCTTTGCACAGCTGAAAGGATGAGCTCTTTCTAATGCCCCCACAATTCCCAGACAGTTCATGGGCATTTACTTCTGGTTCTCAGTGACTGAGGGCAGAACTGCTTCTCTTAAGTTGTGACAAGACCAAATTTGTGCCACTGTTTTTACTGGAAAGCAATTTAGTACCAGGAGGAGGGGCGGTAGACCCAAGACCTTGGGCGGGAGCAGCCTCGGCCTGCAGAGTGGGCCTCTGCTGTGCCCGCTGGCCTTGGCTTGCCTGCCTCTGCACTGGGGGCTGCATGAGGCTTTGCTAGTTCTTCCTGCCGCTCCGAAGCCTTACAAAAACTAAACCCCAACACACAAGGGATCTGCTTTTGTTTGGGGGCAAAGTCTTTCATCAGAAGTGTGGATTGTCCTGCTATCCCACAATACGTAGACTTTCCCTCCTTCTTGCTGGAGATGCTTTTCCTCTTTTCTCCGTCTTATCTCTGTCACCTGATAGACACTCAGCATCAACTTGTGAGGGCATGTGGAGTATCCTCACACCACCCGTGTATCCCCTCCCGCTCTGTTCCCATGTCTTGTCACCATCGCTTCTCCATGCCACCACTTCCCACGGGACGCACAACACTAATAAGTGTCTAATACACGTTATAAAAAAATAACCGGCACATCAACTCATAATTTCACGGAAGGGGAAGAAACCAAGGCTGCAGATGCTTTGGAATCTTTTTTTTTTTTTTTTTTTGAGTTGGAGTCTCACTCTATCACCCAGACTGCAGTGCAGTGGCACACTCCCGGCCACCGCAGCCTCAGCCTGCTGGGCTCCAGTGATCCTTCCACCTCAGCCTTCAAAGTAGCCGGAACTACAGGTGTGTGCTACCATGCCCGGCTAATTTTTTTGTATTTATTGTAGGTCTCGCCAAGTTGCCCGAGTGGGTCTTGAACCCTTGGGCTCAGGCAATCCACTTGCCTTGGCCTCCCAAAGTGCTGGGATTACAGGCTGAGCCACCAAGCCCGGCCGCTTTGGAATCTTAATGCAAGCATGGTACAGTGTGCATTCCACAACTCCAAGGTGTGTCGCTCAGAGTCTGATGTCAGTGAGGTTTGTAGAGTTGAGCAGTGCACAAGCTACACAGCTGCCCACGGTGGGCCTACATGAGACACAGATAGGACAAAACAGGGAAGGAGGTGACAAGTGACTCGAACTTGGGAAGCCACGTTCAAGGCAGTCACACAACTCATGGGATAAATTGGTTTTTTAAAAATTCCTATACAAAGTACCTGAGTTGAACGCTGGTTTTCTTTTTCTTTTTTTTTTTTTGAGTTGAAGTCTCACTCTGTCACCCAGACTGGAGTGCAGTGGCCGCTCCCGGCCACCGCAGCCTCGACCTGCTGGGCTCCGGCGATGCTTCCACCTCAGCCTCCCGAGTAGCTGGAACTACAGGCGCGCGCTACCACACCCGGCTCATTTTTAAATTTATGGTAGAGATGAGGTCTCGCCAAGTTGCCCAGGCGGGTCTTGAACCCGCGGGCTCAGGCAATCCACTCACCTCAGCCTCCCAAGGCGCGGGATTACAGGCTGAGCCACGGAGCCTGGCGAAGGCTGGTTTTCATTATCTGCTGATGTTACATAATGAGCACGTGGATGCTATCTGTGCTGAGGATCAAAGACGTCCCTGCTGCTGGAGAAGCAGTCCCCCAGTTCCTGGGCACGGGCCCCAAGTGCTAATGGGAAGTGCCAGGAGGAGGTGGAGGGGGCTACTATGGGCCTTCCGTTGCCCCGCCTGCACTCACGCCCCACATGGTCTCTGTCCCCAGGACCCCCGCCATGATCGGCTGCTCATTTGTGGTGGACCGTGAATACTTTGGGGACATCGGGCTGCTAGACCCAGGCATGGAGGTATACGGCGGCGAGAACATCGAACTGGGCATGAGGGTGAGTTGGCCGCTTGTGAGGCTCTGGGCCTGGGCGGTGCCAAGGGCTCTCCACAGGCCATGTGGGTAGTTAGCGTGGCATGGCCACACCCAGTCGGTGTAGCACCTTGTGGCACTCCACAGCATGCAGGAAGGTGGGGTCTTGTACCTCCACTGTACTCGCAGGCCCATCGTACCGTTGTGTCCTGCAATGCCAGGGGCCGTGATGGGCTGGGGACTTATGTCTTCTTGTTGTTTGTGACGCCAGACTCGGGTGCACTGCAGGTTAGTTACACAGGGTCTACTGTGTGGTTAGTTACACAGGTCTACTGTGTGGTACCGAGGACTGGCCTCTGCTGAGCCCAGTGCCAGGTGGAGTGCGGTGCCCATGGGGTGTTGTTCAGTCCTCGCCCCTCCCTCCTCCCCCTCTGGTGTCCTCAGTGTCTGCTGTCTCATCTTCACGCCACGTGTTACAGCATTTAGCTCCCAGAGGTGGGACTTTAAAAAACAGGTCCACAGAGGCCCTAGGGGCCATATCAGGAGACCCCGGAGACCCACACCAACTGTCTCTGCCATCCATCTTGACTGGATGTTGAAAGCAAGGGAGCTGGAAGGCAGGGGGAGTCTGAGGCCACCTGGGAGCCCGTGGTAGGGCTTGGGGCAGCCGCTGTGGACAGGCCCCCCCCAAAAGCAAGCAGGGCCTTGGGGGAACAGGCTTTAGCTCCAGTGTGTGAGTATGTATGTGTGTGGGGGTGGGGTGTTGTCTGTATATGCGTATGTATGGTGTATGTGTGTGTATACAAGTGGGGGGGATGTGGGTGTAGTTTTTTGCACAACATGGGTGCTTTCCTGGGTCACTCATCTTTATGTATGATGCTGGGTTTTTGACACGGGAGTTTTGACGTCCGCATGTCTGTTTCTTTCGCGACCAGGTCTCAGGGACGTCTGTTTGAAGCCCCCGTGGCCATGTGAATATCTTTCCTTCTTGTACTTCATAGTTTTTTTTCCATGTGAACAGCTTCTGTCCATTTGCAGAATACGTTGTTTTTACATAAGTGAGGTTGTGATCTTTCTCTATGATGTTTAAACTATGGACTAACCTTCTCAGGGCACCCATCAAATCTCCATCTGTGACCCCAGATGGGAAAAGCCACCTTCATCACATGCCAAGTGCTCATCCACATTCACGTGGGTCTGCTTTGAGTTTTCTGTTAGCTGCCACCTCACCACCTCACTGCTTTATAAAATATTTTAATATCTAGCAATTAAATATGTAATCCTTATACTTTTAGAAATTCCTCGGTTAGTTTTCTTGCTTTGACTGTCTCATGTGAACTCTGGAATCATTTTACCAAAGCTCTGTCCTGTCTGTATGGGTTGTGTTTACATAATGGCACACGCAGCACAACCCCCGGCACGGCCTCTGGCTCCTGACTCCCTCTGCCTGCAGAGCCCTGCTGTGCGGGTTATTTCCTCTTACTCTTCTCAGTCCTGAGTGTATGTGATCAACCTGAGTCTGCATGACTTTTGCATATCTGGAAGGTCCTTGGTTTCTCTCTACTGGCCTCCCCGATCTGCAGATCCCGTTGGAAACCTGGGGGCTCCCACCCACCCTCTAGGCCTCCTGACAGCTCTTCCCTGTCTCTGTCTCTGTCATTCCATGGTGTGTCCTACATTCCAAGGATCTAATTCTCCCTTCAGCCACGTCCACACGGCCACTTAAGCCACTTGTTTGGTTTTGGTTTTTCACTTTACTGACTGCATTTCATCCTTAGAGGACTTCTTCCATTGTACTTTTATATATGGTTGTTCTTTCTTACAACTGTTTTCATAAACTCATGTTCTTTTTGATGAAGGCTTTTCCTTCATTCCTTCATGTCTTTGAAAATCGTAACAGTCTTCTTAAGACTAAATTTGCCCTTTTTTTTCTCTGTTACTTTGGTTTAAATCCACCTGTTCTGTTGGATATTTGGCTGGAATTGAATTTCCTAGGGTGCCTTGTGGTTTCTGGGTGAGCTCATCTTTTGTGGGAGCTGTGTCTTTCTTCACCACTCCTCATTCCTGGAGGGAAGATTGAGATGGCCTCATCCCTGCACTGCCAGGCTCATGGCTCAGAATTTAGCGGCTTAGACTATACCTTCCATTCATGACCCTCGTTCCCGGCAGAAGGTCTCAGATGGTCTCATCCTGTCACTCCTAGAAGCATTGCTCGGAACTTAGTGGCGTAGATCTCATCTTCCCTTCAGGACCCCTCATTCCTGGGAAGCAAGTCTCGGATGGCCTCACCTGACACTCCCAGGCTCATGACTCAGAGCTCAGCAGCCTGGTTTCCACCCTGAGGGCATGTCCCAGGTTCATTTTTCCAGCATGTGTCGTCAGACCCAGGTGCTGCTCCCTGGGTTAGTTCTGGCTCCAGACTCCACCAGAGCAACTTCTGCTGGTTCCAGGCTCAGGGAACCCAGTCCCTCTCTGGATCCAGGCGAGCATCCCAGCTGTGCACTTAGCTTCTGTCTCATGACGGCTCCCAGGAGCTCCCCACCTTCCCCTACTCACTCCAGCGGGGCTCTGCTCTTTCATGGAGAGTTCCATCTTGCCTTCCAGGATCCACTTTAAAATGCTTAGTGTATCCCTTCTACATGTTTGGAACGACATGTCCATGATGCTGACTGCATGTCTCCCTTGCCACTTGATCCAGCCACCATGGCCTGATCCACGGAACTGTGAGCTAAACTGTAGCCTCAGCCCATGTGAGGGCTGAACACCCAACTAGATGTCACTCTGCCATTCAAGGGGCAGAGCTTCAGGGACAGATGACTGTGCTGGGAGTGGGCAGGGTAAGAGCAGTGAACACATAGCTCTGTTTCTCAGACTTCGGCATCCCCAGAATCCCCAATGGGCAGGGCCTACTGGGAGTTTCCGATCCTGAGGGCCCAAAGTGGGTTCTCAGGGGTTCCAGGACCACACTTAGAGAAACTGTTTCTCTTTTTCCATAGATTGGAGGTGCTCAAAGTGTTCAGTGACACAGGTGGTACTTGGAACGAAGACCTTGCAGGAGTTTCAGCAGGTCTGGCTCCAAGTAGGAGCATGGAGATGGCTGCTGTGTGTGTGTGTGTGTGTGTGTGTGTGTGTGTGTGTGTGTGTGTGTGTGTGTGTGTCTGATTGTCTGGGAAGAAATGGTTTCTTGTCAAAACTTGACAAATTGAGCCCGCCGAGTCCCGGGAGATGGTATCTGCCTTCCCAGCGCCAAATCGGGTCAGAACCTGCCCTGGAGCCGAATGGCTGCCGCAGTACGCAGTACCCGGACACGGGGATGCTGGTGCCCTTCAGGAATGATTGTTTCCTGAGACCGGTCTGGGTTCGAGGGAGGAGCACCCAGAGCAGACCATCAATCTTTTTTAAGCTAGGTTCAATGTGAGGTCTCTAGAAAGGATGCACAGGGCCTTCTTTGGAGCAAACATGAAGCCTGGTTTTTCTTAAAGGGAATGTTCTATGCTACCCAGGGTAAGATGCTGGCCGGTACCCCTGGTCTGCACCAGGCAATATTGCCCAAGCTCCCGTCAGCCTCAGCCTGGAGGCCAGGGTAGGAGTGCCCTGCCCCTTCCCTCCACATGTCCACCGGCCATCCCATCAGGTGTGGCCTTTGGGGAGCCTTGGACAGTAAATGTATGCCCTGCAGGCCTGGCCCATAAGCTCCACAACCCGCCCA